ACAACCCACTTCGGCCAATTTCTTTTGCTGATACAAGGATGATAATAAACCAGAATTGGCTACCCAAACGGAGCCTAATAAATGAGCACTTCTGTAATTGGCAATTTCCTTCCTTTTTTAGGAGGTTCTACTGTTGATCCGCTTTCTTGGGACTTGCGGCTCAAGATCGCGATAGGAGCAGCCCGTGGCCTGGCGTTTCTGCATGCTTCAGAGAAGCAAATCATCTACAGAGATTTCAAGGCTTCCAATATTCTTCTTGATGTGGTAAATAAGATTCTCTTATTACATCTGCTAGTTGTTTGACAGTCCTTTCATTCTCTTGGCTCCCAAAAAAGCCATTTTTAAGTAAAAAAGCTTTGGCAAAACTTTCTGATAAAAGCTCAAAACTTTTCCAAAATGCTGAAATCATGTTTGCGGGCGCGTTTGATATTTCCCATGAAAAGTGGTCAAAGTGGAAAAGAATCACTTGTGTTTGTGTGTGTTTATCTCCACTGATATGGATGAAATATTTGCATTTTATGATCCTTTCATTTTGTAGAATTACAATGCAAAAATATCAGATTTTGGCCTGGCGAAACTGGGGCCCTCTGGCGAGAACTCACATGTTACGACTCGAATCATGGGCACACACGGTTATGCTGCCCCTGAATATGTTGCAACAGGTGAGAGTTTGGTCTATATTTGTCCCTAAAAGAACTCAACACTTTCCATTTTGGCATCCCAACAAGAACTTTTACGCTTCTCACTTTTGGTCACTTTTTTCTTAAACACCGTGGAAGTACTGAAATACCCCTCTCCCCCTATACCAGGTCACCTATATGTCAAGAGCGACGTGTACGGGTTCGGGGTGGTGTTGCTAGAGATGCTAACCGGCTTAAGGGCGCTGGACAGCAGGCGAATGGGCGGGCAAACGAATCTGGTGGAGTGGAAGAGGCCATTTCTGGGCAAGAAAAAGAAACTGAAGTGGATAATGGATCCCAGAATGGAAGGCCAATATTCCACAGAGGCTGCATTGCAGGCTGCCCAGCTCAGTCTGAGGTGCACAGAACATGAACCTCGGAAGAGGCCGACAATGGAAGAAGTTGTGGGGATTCTGGAAGAGATCGAGTCTATCAAGAAAGGGAATGAGAAGCCCTCAAAAAGCGGGAAATCTCAATCTTCGTCGCGTCGGCATAGAGGCGGCGGTTCAGGCCGCAATGGCAGCTCTCTGTAACATTGTTTGGTGTTTTGTTGTTTGCTTTGAAGCCTCTATGGTGACTTGGTTGAAATGGACTGAACTGTTCGGGAATGTATTTAAATTGTATTTTATTGTTAAATTTGGGGAAAAAATTATCTCCAAAAAAGAAAAGGATAAAAGTATCATAAGAGCACTGGAAATACGTATGAAGCCCCGGGGCTTCAAACCGGGGCTTTAAACTTTCTCTATCTGCCACGTCAGCTTTAACTTACACCAAAAATTCACTGGAAATGGGTTTGAAGCACTGGGGCTTCAAACCTTCATTTTTTACATTTTTAAATATACATCTTCTAAATTAAAATTCATAAATTTAAATTAATTTATTATTTAAATTAATCGCAATGAGAATAGTGCATTAAAAAATTACATTCTTTAAAAAAAAATATTACATTCATAAAAAAATACATTCATTAAAAAAATTACATTCATAAAAAAATGACATTCATAAAATATTACATTCATTAAAAAAATATTACATAAAAAAACAACACTACAAAGAAATCATTAATTATTCGAGCGACTAAAGATATGTTCGATCAAATCCGCCATTAGTGCATTGTGAATCTCTCGGCTTCGAATTTCTTGGCGGTTTCTTTGTTTCTTTTCTTCGGTGATTTCTTCTTACATAGGCCCTTCCTCGTCCGGGTTGTATTGACAAATCGCAGTCCCGTTATCCTCTATGATCATATTATGAAGTATAATACATGCGTACATGATATTTCTCATTTTTGTTTTAGAATAACATTTCGACGGACGATCTAGAATGTGTCATTTATTCTTCAAGACCCCAAAGGCTCGTTCAATATCTTTTCTTGCCGCCTTTTGAGCTTTTTTGTAGGTCTGGCGTTTAAGACTCATTGGTTCGGAGAGGGATTTGACAATCGTGGAATAATCTGGATATATTCCATCGGCCAAATAATATCCACGCTTGTAAAGCGTCTCTCTAAGCTCAAAAGAGGAGTCCGGTGCGGTCTCAAAAGAGTAGTCGTTTAGAAGTGAAGCGTGGGCGACTGCTCGATCCCGGTTTAAACGTTGTCGTCGGGAGGATTCGGGTTCTTCTTCTTGGCCTTCTTCCCACCATTGAATACAACTCGTGGCGAAACAACGAAAAAAGAGAGCTCTTTTTTCATCGTCGGATGAAGATGAACCCATTTTTAAAATATATTTTATAAATATTTTTAATAAATAATAAATATTTTAGAGAGAATATAGAGAGAGATGTGTGAGAGAAAGGGGGATTTTATAGGTTTTTTTTTAAATTCAAAATTTTTTNACTGAAATTCCGAAGCAACCCCGCGTCAAACGAATGACGCAGGTGCCATAACGCCCAGGTAACGCCGGAGGGGGGCGGTGTTTAACGCCCCCCACGCGTGAAAAACGGCATAATGCCGGTGGGCGTGAAGAGTATACCGAGTGCTCTAACACACCAAGAACTTGTTCTCTTCAACTTATTCTTTTTATTTATTATTTATTCTTATTCGAATCAGATCAGAAACAACTTTAAATATAACACAAGAAAATCTTGTTCTCAACTTATTCTTTTTACTTACGTAGTACTCCCTCCGTCTTAAAACGTGCATCCTGTTTCTGTTTACGAGATTGACCAACTTTATTTTCAATTCAATTTATTTGATTGTAGGTGTATAATTAAAAAAATAAAATTTATATATTTAAAAATCACATCAAAAGTTCTAAAAAAATAAGAGGTGACAAAAGTATATTATTTTATTAAGTACTCCCTTCGTCTAAGTGTGTTTGTCAAATTTGACTTTTTCGAGTCAAACATGATGATGATTTTTGAGCTTTAATTAAAAAACTACTAATATATATTAGTATCAAAATGATTTTATCAGATAATTCTTGTTGAGAAGTTTCAAAATTTTATTTTATTATACTGCTCCTTCTGTCTTAGAACGATCTTCTCATTTCTGTTTACGAGGTTTGACCAACTTTATTTTGAATTAAATTTATTTGAATGTAGGTGTAAAATTAAAAAGTAAAATTTATATATTTAAGAAAACTACATCAAAACTTCTACTCTGGAGTATAAAACAACATGTGTCAAATATCTAACAAAAATAGGTAAAGAAAATGATTAAAATTTGACCATGCGAATAATAATTGGGAAGAATGTTTTAGAACGGAGGGAGTAATATACAATACAAATTGAGAGTAATTGAACCTCAAATTTGTCCAATTTGACTCGAAAAAGTCAAACTAGACAAAAACACTGGGACAGAGGACTGACAAAAGTAGGTAAAGAAAGTGATTAAAGTTTGACCGTGTGAATAATATCTGGGAAGAATGTTTTAGGACGGAGGGAGGATTATTTGTTCTTATTTAAATCAGATCAGAAGCAACTTTAGATATATTTACAATTAGATTTGATTAGAACTTGATAAAATCAGATCAGAATTAATCAAATAAGTTGGAGAGAACAAGTCTTAAAATAGCGATGTGTTTGGTAGAAAAATAAAGTGCACAAGCTCATAAATATATCTACCAAATGAGTGCTTCTATGGTGATAAAAAATCTTTTTTCATCTTTTTAATTAAAAAATCAAATGTTTATTTAAATAGTAAGAAAATATTTATTTTATTTATATGTAGGTTCATGATAGATCTTAGGTCCACAATAGAATTTGTGAAATCAAACGGGTACCAAAATTGGTAGGAATTGTAAGTATTCCCTCCGTCCCACTGTATTTGTCCACTTACCTTTTGGCACATCATCCAATGCACTTCTTTAATCCATTTTATCTTGTAATTTGTATATTAAAAAATTATACAAATTATATACTAATAAACTATATGTTAAGACGAATCAAACAAGATCACACATGACTATTTTTAGACTTACACATTAAGAGAATTTGATGAGTCGAAGTGCTTAGATGAACAGTTCAAAAAGTCAAATGTGGACAAAGACAATGAGACAGAGGTAGTACTCCGTAATTATTATTTTTTTAAATCTTTTAAATTTAATTTTTGCGACTTTGTAGTCCGTCTATCCCCTGGGAGATTGGTCTTAAGAAACGCAACACAAATTGACATCAACTTTCGCATGAAACAGAAGAGGAAATGAGTGTGGGGGATCAACAGATGTCCAATCGCAGTTGTCCTTGGGGTACGAGCTATTTGGTCGGATCAACAGATGTCTCATTTCTGGTAGTGTGGGGGAGCTAGAGGTGAAAGAGTTGCAGACTCTAAGGTTCTTGCCTGGGTCTTTGGAAACAAGGGAAATGAGTTCTAGAAAAATGAGTTATTTTCTTGGGCAAAAGGGATGGTGGTGGTGGTGGGGGGTAATCTTGGTGTTTAACATCCTCCACACTAACCAGCAAAGGTGTGGAGGGAGTCTGAGAGTGCTGAACAACAGGAATGGATGCCAAAACCTTTGCCTAAAGCAGATGCTCATGCAGGGGCGTTCACACAGGCATAAGGTCGAATACCTTGTGTGCATTCTTGTCCCTAGGGTTGCACACACAAAGTTGAGCATGATACGCCACAAATACTATATGGAGCCTGAGAAACCCTAAAACAAGGAATGAATTTTCCATTCTTGCTAAACATGGGGGAAATGACTCTGCCCTTTCCAAATGGACCCTTGGATTAATACAAGTTTGAGAAAAGTACGGTTTCAAAAGAAGAAGAAGAATTGGGTGCTGGTCAACGGGAGAGCCGGCAAAATAGACTTTAAATTTCCCTTTTCCCCACTTTTCTTTTCATGTTCTAAATTCTTAGATTACCAAGACTTGAAATAGCCTAAACTGATGCTACTACCTCAAGAGCAACATAAAGATGCATTATCATCATCTTCTTGCATGGTGTACTATGCTGCTCAGTGGTTTGATCATCTCTCTCACTTTTGGTTTCCATGTTGACCAGAGCAATAGTATAGCCATTTCTTGTGGATCTTCTGCAAATCTTATTGCTCTCAATGGGCGCCTGTGGGTAGGGGACAACAGCTTTTCCTTAACTGGACAATCTTGGACTAGCAGAGCCCAGCACAAAGCCAGTTTCTTGATAGATCCAGTACCCTACCAGACAGCCCGGGCTTCTCGCCGCGAGTTCAGCTACATGTTCCCAGTCAAGCCCGGCCAGAAGTTCATCCGCCTGCACTTCAACCCAGCACCCTACAAGGGCTTCAAGAAACCCACAGCTCTTTTTACTGTCAGGATCGGTCCGTACACTCTGCTCAGAAGTTTCAGCCCTTCCCTCGCCGCTGATTCTCTGGGTGTCAAGATTCTCCACAAGGAATTCTGTGTCAATGTTAAAGAGAGTGAAGATTTATTGACCATAACATTCACTCCATCATCTCAAGAAGAAGATGTTTATTATGCCTTCGTCAATGGCATTGAGATTGTCTCCATGCCTACTGGCCTTTATTTCACTCAGGAGGGGGACCTGGGGTCCCACGTTGTCGGCCAAAAGCACAGGTTCTACATTGATAACTCCACGACTCTAGAGATGGTGCGGAGGTTAAACGTGGGAGGGCATTCAATTTCATCTACTGAGGATGGAAGCATGTTTCGTGATTGGGAAGATGACAACAGTTACCTCCTGATAGGAGGTGGAGGAGCTGGTGCTTCGATTGAAACTGCCATGAAAATCAAATATCCAGAGATCATGCAGCAGAAAGCACGCGTTGCGCCTCTCAGTATTTACCAAACAGCCAGGACAGCCGGTGTGCTTCCAGGCAAGCAACAGAAGATGAATGTTATTCATAACAGGCTAACATGGATAATTCCAGTAGATTTGGGATTCAGGTACTTAGTCCGGCTCCATTTCTGCGAATTTGATCCTGAAATATTGGCAAGGGGTGAGAGGCAATTCCGTATATTGATAAATAATGAGATAGCTGAGGATAACGCGGATGTGGTCAAATGGAGTGGAGTACATGGAATTGCAGTGTACAGAGACTACGTAGCAACGGTGGGAGGGGATAGAGTGAAAGAGAGAGAGAATCTATTGATAACTTTGCAGCCTACCTCAAATGAGTTATGCTGTAAAAGAAGAGATGGAATTCTGAATGGCTTGGAGATATTCAAGTTGAGTAATCCTGACAACTCTCTTGCTGGTGCTGCACAAAGATCAGTGTCAAAGAAGATTCCAGAAAGGCAGGAGGAAGTTTCCTTTGATAGAAAGAATGCAATTGCAACTGCATTTACTGTAGCACTTGTTTTCCTGAACATTGCCATATATCACCTAAGGCGTCTCTCACAGGAAAACTCTACCATGAGAAATAGAGAACCGTCGTCTGTGGATCAAACTTTTCGCCAATTCTCACTTGAGGAGATTCGGCTTACCACAAACAATTTCAGTCCCAAATTCGTCATTGGAGCTGGTGGATATGGTAATGTATACAAGGGATGTATGGATGGTGGAAAAATGGTCGTGGCAATTAAACGTTTGAAAGAAGGGTCTAAACAAGGAGATAATGAGTTTTGGACGGAAATAAAATTGCTATCCAAGGCCCGAAATGAACATCTTGTCTCCCTAATTGGCTTCTGCAATGAAGAAAAGGAGATGATGCTGGTTTATGAGTACATGCCTAGAGGAACACTTGAAGACCATCTCCACAAATTCAGCAACCATCCGCTCTCTTGGGAAAGAAGACTCAAGATTTTAATAGGAGCTGCACGGGGATTGCATTATCTTCACGCCTCCTACCATAAGGTCATACACCGCGATGTAAAGAGCTCAAACATTCTGATAGATGAGAATTGGGTTGCAAAGATTTCAGACTTTGGTTTGTCCAAAATGGGGCCTGGAAATGAGTCGTTTACTCACGTCAGCACAAATGTAAAGGGAACGTTTGGTTACTTTGATCCCGAGTACTTCTTGACTAGAAGATTGACAACAAAGTCTGATGTTTATTCTTTTGGAACAGTGCTGCTTGAAGTGCTGACTGGGAGGCCAGCACTGGATAAGAGGCTTCTCGAGGAGCAGAAAAGCCTTGTGACCTGGGCTGTCGACTTCATTAGGAAAGGAGAAGTTGATGAAATTGTAGACCCTGGTCTAGCTGGTCAAGTCTCTCGTACTTGTTTGAACGAGTTTGTTATAATTGCTAGAAGATGCTTGCACAGGCATCCTCGTAAACGACCAGATATGGATCACGTGGTGACAAGCCTCGAATTAGTCTTGGTTTTACAACAGGAGGAGGAAGAAGATGGGGTTATTGACACTGGTGTTCACAGTAGTGATGGATCCATATCTTTCAACAATCGATCTGAACCTCTTCCAAGAAATAACAGCAATAGTGCTGGCCAAAGCCTGTTTTCCATGATAACGAGTGAGGACACAAGTGTAAATGGGGAGATGCCTGCTTCAAATTTGAAGGTCTATACTTATGCGGCTTTGAAGGCTGCCACTAGAAGTTTCACGCTGGACATGGAGTTGGGGGTGGGAGAGTTTGGGAGGGTGTATAAAGGATGGGTTGATGAGAAGACACTGATGCCATATAAAATTGGGAGTGGAACCATTGTTGTTATAAGGAAGTTAGATGAGGAAATTATACAAGGGCTTGAGGAATGGCAGGTTCTACTACTACTTCTACTACACGTTGTTCATTTTTTTCTTTTGATGAGCCTAAGGTGTGGCTTTGAGCCGGGAGTCTCTTGGAAACAATCTCTATACTTTCTAGTAGGGGTAAGGCTTGGGTTCCTAGACCCTCCCCACACCCTACTTTATATAGGATTTTTCTAGACTTTTTATACCTTCAAAAGTATATTCCCGTTGACTTCTAGATATAAAAGTAACAAGTGAAATACATATGAGAGGCTAACTGAGTTATATTACTTATGGACATTGTATAGTTGTTTAGTTAAATATACTTCATAATAGTTAATTTGGTCACCTTATCAAACACATTTCAGGATTGATTATCTTCTGCGCTCACAATGGATTATCATTTGGTTTTGTCTGTTCAGATCTCTTTGTGTTCTTCGGCTATTTATTGGATGTTCTAATAGTATTATACATATGTTCAAACATTTGAAATGCAGTTGGATGTGAACTTCTTGGGCAGGCTTTCACATCCTAATCTGGTTAAGCTCATTGGGTACTGTTGGGAAGAAAAAGAACTGCTGCTTGTCTATGAATTCATGCCCAAGGGAAGCTTGGAAAACCACCTTTTTAAAAGTAAGTGATGAGACAAATTAATTTTAGGATCCGTTTGGGAAGGGGAGAAATGACTTCCGGAAGTCATTTCCCCATTTTCTGTGGCTATTCCAGAAAATAGGAGCCAACATAAAATGACTTTGAAGTCAAAGACAATTGAGTCTGTCTTATTTGGAGGAAAGTGATATCCGTTTGTTTACAGATAACATTTTCCACTCTTCTCCAACTTTTTCGATCAAATCACATCATATCTTATTGTCTTATAACAACAAGATTTATGGTTTTTTCATTTTCCACACTTTAAAAAAATCTGATTAACATTATTTTTTTAAATTTCCCCTAAAACACACTCTTTCTGCCAACTTCTTTTGCTGATATAAAGATGAAAATAAACCAGAACTGGCTACCCAAATGGTGCCTAATAAATGAGCACTTCTGTAATCAGGAATTTTCTTACTTGTTTAGGAGATTCTACTGTTGATCCACTTTCTTGGGACTTGCGGCTCAAGATTGCGATAGGAGCAGCCCGTGGCCTGGCATTTCTGCATGCTTCTGAGAAGCAAATCATTTACAGAGATTTCAAGGCTTCCAAAATTCTTCTTGATGTGGTAAATAAGATTCTCTTATTGCTTCTTCCAGGGGTTATGGTAGTCATATGGATCTGGGCCGTAGTTTTTGATCTTTGTGTTTTCTAAGCTTGGGGTCCTTTTGCTTGCAGCTGTTTGTGTGCCTTTTGTCTCCTTGCACTATTCTTGCCCTTGGTTTGTTTGCTCTTTGATCTTTTTCTTTTTTTCTTTTTTGGGGATATATGCTTTTTGTGTTGCTCGAGCTGGATGTTTATTGGAAACAACTCTACTTTCAAGTAGGAGTAACGTATGCGGACACACACCCTCCACAGACCCTATTTCATGGGATTTACTGGGTTGTTGTTTTTATTAACTTATTACTTCTTCTAGTTGTGTTTGAATTTCTGTGTTCCTTTAATTGTGTAGGATTACAATGCAAAAATATCATATCTTGGGTTGGCAAAACCGGGGCCTTCTGGTGATGACACACACGTTACAACAAGAGTACTTGGCACCTACGGTTATGCTGCTCCTGAATATGTTGCAACAGGTGAGAGTTTGGTCTGTTTCTGCCCCTAAAAGAACTCGACACTTTCCATTTTGGCATCCCAAAAAGAACTTTTACGCTTCTCACTTGTCATCGAAGGCCTTTCACCTTTCGTCACTTTTTCCCCATAAAGTACTGAAATACCCCTCTCCCCCTATACCAGGCCACCTATACGTCAAGAGTGACGTGTACGGGTTTGGAGTGGTGTTGCTAGAGATGTTGACCGGGTTAAGAGTGCTGGACAGCAGGCGAAGGGGCACGCAAACGAATCTGGTGGAATGGAAGAGGCCATTTCTGGGCAAGAAAAAGAAACTGAAGTGGATAATGGATCCCATAATGGAAGGCCAATATTCTACAGAGGCTGCATTGCAGGCTGCTCGGCTTACTCTTAGGTGCATAGAACTTGAACCTCGGAACCGGCCAACCATGGAAGAAGTTGTGGCAATTCTTGAAAAGATTGAATGCATTAAGAAGAGTAAGGAGCTTTTTAGTTCCAGGTGGGCTAATCTTTGGGCAAGCTAGAAATCCATATTTCACCATAATAAGACCCTAGGTCACACAAAATGAGTTCGACTTCGAATGCGGATGCATGAAAGCGTTAAAATTTTAAAAAAACATGAGTGCAGGGCGCCTTAAAACGTCAATTAAAAAAAACTCCCTCCCCCCATATATATATATATATATATATATATATATATATATATATATATATATATATATATATATATATATATATATATATATATATATATATATATATATATATATATGCCGATTAAGGTGAGAATGACTCATGATGAAAGAAATAAGAATAAGTCTTGATAGTCTCCAAACTTAATTTTCATCTTGTTCATGGAAAGGAATGTACGTATGCACTAAAATTGTGAGTAATTAATAGATATGGCCAATTTGGTAAAATTTTGATGCATTAATATGGCAATTATCTTAGCACTTAGGTTGTGTTTTCTTCGGCTGATCTGATATGAATTAAATTTTTTAAGGCTAATCTGATCAGAATGAATCTAATCTGAATGATTTGATCTGATCTGAATGTAATTAATTTAAATTCAAATTTTTATTAAACTAATAATAATTTATTATTAATTCTTATTATTAATAATTATTATTAATAATTATTATTAATAAAATACAATAATAATTTTTATTTTTAAGAATTATTATTTTAATTATTATTATTATTATTATTATCATTATTAGTTTAATAGTTATATTTATTAATATTGTTATAATTAATTATTATTATTGTTACAAATATTTAGTGAGATGGGGTTCCCCTACATTGGAACCCCATGTCATGGGATGACTCGGGGGCGTTCCGGTGCCTAATTTGTAAAATTGACGGTTTCTATCTCCGATAAACCCTCCCTCCCCGCCCGACCCGAACATACCCCTACCCTCTTTAATTGTATCTCACAAGTTGATTTTAACTTTGGAGTCAAAATCTGTGTGATAATAATAATACTTTATTGATTATTGATGATGATTATCATTATTAATTAAAATGATTAATATTGGTGATTATTGATTATTGGTGATGATTATTATTGATTTTGAGTCTTGGCCGTAAAATAAGATCAAAGAAGACAAATAAAATCTTAGCCACCTAGTGTTTTCCTTGTCTTTTCTTATCACATGACCCAATTCCCCCCTTCATAATCTCTTAAGAATGAGTCATTTTCATACAAAGCAAGAAGACATCATTTCCCACATGATGGGCACAAAATGAATAGCATGAGCTTGTCTTCTTGTGTCACAAAAATCTTATCTCTGATTATAACCCCATGAGGCCAAAATTGGCTATTGATCATCCTTCAAAAGTGAATCATTTTTCACACTAATTCGATACCAAATCATCTCCCACACAATGGCCATAAGTTAGGAGAAAGAAAATGTTTTACTGAATAGTGGTAATTTGTCATAATTGTACCACAAAAGTCAGTACTCTTGTTAACATCTGTTTGTCTTCTTTTTACCCCTTATGCCGAATTTCCACCACTAAATCACAAAAGATTATTGGCTTTGTAAAGTCAAGAGAGCTCAATCACGAAGACTTTCCATATCAAGACAAAATGAGAGCAAATGGCATGTGAAAATTAGGAAGCTTCCTTCCACTCTTGCTTTGTCTTATTGTATGTATTATTAGCTAAATGTCTTTCCATTATTTCCTATATAAGTTCAGCCATATGGCCTTGTAATCCAAGACTTTGATAATGAAAAATCCCCAAATAGTATGATGCTACTTTAACCAAAATCTTAATCATATATCTTAGGAGTAGTTTTTTTAAATGTGAGCTTTAGTTTCTAATTATTTAATTGAATGCGTATATCCTTTAGTGTTATTTTGGCTTTGAATTAAGAGTATACATATCTCTTAACACTGATTTGATGTTTATCCCATAATTTCTAAATCCACCTTTCTCTTTTGATATCTTATTCTTCTTCACAATATTAAAAAAAACCCCATAAAGAATCCCAAGTTATTTTAGAGGTGCGTCTATGTTTTAATATTAATTTGACTCCAAATTAAGATAATAGTGTGAATATCTATTACCCCTGATTTAGTTTATCTTTCTTAGTTTGATTCTTCCATTTCCGCCCCTCCCATGATCTTCTCCTATTATTCTCTTTCATAAAAAATGCCAAAAAGAACCCTACGACATCTCCCATATTTCGCCTCGTACCACCGCCCATTCGATTCTTTTTTTCTTCTTCCTCCCCCATCAATATGTAAGAAAGAAGGAAAAGGGGAAAAAAAGAAAAGATAAAACAATGAAAATGCTGACATGGAAATCAACTCAATTTCCACATCAGCAAATTGACCTAGACTTACACAACCGACTAAGTTTGCACGTTCACTATATCTTAATCCAATTTCATGATCAAATTAGCCCTCTAATGTAATATAATTTGGATCCAATTCAGTCCTCAGCGTACAACAATGTTCCTTTTAATCAAAGCGAAATATGTATAAACACCACTAAATTGAGAATAGCATAGTGAAGGGACCCCCAATATGGTATTAACTCCTACAGATCTATCAAGTGAGATTGAAGTGATCAAAAATCAGATTGGAGAGTATATACCAAATTGGGTATGAACCCTAACAAAGACCAAAATCAGATCGAATAGAAAAAGGCTATTAGCTAAAATCACTTGTGTTATAGCGGGCAGCGAGGTCAGAACTCAGAGCCTAAACATATAAGAATAATAACATATAGCAGACTGAATGAACCTCAAGATCAACGCCTTGGTTGGTGAAGGCGAGGCCTGTTACAGAATACACGACCGTTGGCCCTCACAAATCCAGCTATTAGAAGACTTATGCTTCCCCAAATCATTGAAAACAATAGGTTCCATGGATTACTGGAAACTGTAAACAACACATCACGTGGAAGGCTTGTGAGTACAAAGAGAGAAGAAAGAGGGGTTGAAATGTTTTTGAAATGATAGAGAATACTTTACCTCGCCTTAGTGAGATAACGGTGAAGAACAAACCAGCTGTAATCAACGCAAATGCCATTGGGAATGACTGCACCGTATTAACACATTGTTAGGTGAGTGAGTTAGAGATTTGTAGGGAAGAATTTGGTTAACAAACGGAATAGATGATGGCCCTGATTTGTCAAGGGCCTTCTCGCAAACAGTCTTGGAGTAGAGAAAACGTTTGAGTACGTCTCTTGCCCCACCTAGACCCTTCTCTTGAGCAGGATTTACTGGGTTTGTCTAGGTTGGTTTGGTATGAAATAGATGTTAGCACAAATGAAATTTTTAAAAGAAAGTTTATTATACGGCCTCTAGTGGTAGATTTTGCAAATGACATCGTAGAAACAAAAACTACTCCATCCGTCCTGAAGTGTTTGTCCACTTCTTTTTGGGCCATCCCAACATGTTTGGCCACTTTCCATTTGTGGCAGAGTAATAAATGTCACATTGGCTCTTTTGCCCTCATATCCTCATAAACATTCTATCATAAATGGTAGTTTGGTCTTTGTTCCTCGTAATTTTTATTTTCTTGGTCCATGTGCCAAAAAGCAAGTGAACAAACTCATTATGAAAAAGAGAGTATGTAGGAGTGTCAGTGAAATACTTACAGCAACTGCCTCAACACTTCCTTTTTGTGATGTAAGTGTCGTGTCCCGTGAGAAAGAAATAATGTAATGTCCATGCAATAAGTCAATGGCATCCTTTGGTGGGAAAAATGGAATATCAGTACCCAAAAATTACATAATAATAACAACAATAATCGTAGCCAATTTGTAATCACATTATTAGATTGAAACTAAAACTAATTCAAAGAAACTATAGTGAAGCCTCAGCTAACAGAGCTAGAAACACATAATAAATCGAGAGCAAGGCACAAACAAGATCACTCAAATTTTTAAAAAGAAGTTAAAAAGTTTTTTTAAAGAACATCAAATTTATCGATGTAAAGAACCCCATGTATACATATTGACAATGCAACTAGATCTTAATGAACAAAAATCCTCTCATTTGTATGTGAAGCCAGCTACCTGTTTTGTACCATCGCAGAAATTGTTCAAGTAGTAGCGCATGAGAGCATTACATCCATCATTAAATATCCCTTTGGCAGTACGCTGACCGAATCTGTATATCCATTTTCCAAGTTATTAATCCAGCATTATTAGGTAAATGATGGCATGCTTCATGAATGTCTTTCCATTGCAGCATCTTTGGATAAGAATAGGGTGAGTATATATTAAATCTATGAAGCAGGTAACAGAATCTTTGACTTTATTCCATCCTGATACTCCGTATTTTATAAATGTCTCTCATTTCCAGAAAAGCTTAGTATGTTTGTCGGTCAATCAGTGATATCATTATTGGTTCATTGAAAAGTGTCAGTCAATCAGTTATAGCATTATTGGTTCATTGCCGGTCAAAATGTACTCCATAATAAATAATCACGCCCTCCGTTCCATATCTTTCTTCCCGTTGCGCAAAACGAAGAAAACCCAAAGTTTTTTCAATCTATTTTGTTTAAATATTGGAATAGAAATAAAAAATAAAACTTACATATTTAAAAACTACATCAAAAGTTCAACAAAACAAGTGGTGACAAGAATATTTTATTTTATCATATAGGCCATGAAAAAAACACAAATAAATATAAATTCCCGTGAAGTTGGAATACTGCTCTGGGAAGAAAGATATGGGACGGAGGGAGTATATTATATTACTCCTTCCGTCCATAAAAAGATTTCACAATTGACCGGGCACGGTTATTAATAAAGGTGAAAGTGTGGTTGAATTTTAAGTGGAGAGGGATATTGTGTGAAAGGATAACTTTTTTAGGGACAATTTTATGTGGAGCCTTTTATGGGGAAGAGGGAGTATATATTATGTGCCCCCTCCATCTCAAATGAAGTTTATACTTTGACTTCACGGAGCTTAAGAAAAAGTGTTGAAGAGTGAAAAGTGAAAGATGCATCGTTGAATTTTATTTAGAAAAGAGAAATTATAGAAGCCACATATTCGTTTCCTAATAGAGAAAGTGGACAAGTGTAAACTCCATTTTGAGACATTCAATAAAAGAAATGTGTAAACTTCATTTTGGTACGGAGGGAGTACAATAACTTCATATAGGGAGCATGGTCAAGTACACTCTTTAAAATAAAGTACAAATTAGACTCTCTCTTTTTTTTTGAGTAAAGATATACCATCAATATTAAGTAACGGTTCAAAAACACCCATGATGTTTACCATTAAGGTATAAATAAGCCATCAAGTCATGAAATTAGAGGGTTTAATACTTTTGAATAATGTCTTCAGTTGAGACCCAAAAAATGAAACTCGATCAAATATAATATGCCCGAGGCTTTTAAAGGAATTAGAAATGGATACCTGACAAAATCACCCTTTAGAGCAGGAGTGCCAGAATACTGGATGCTTATATCATCGCCATGATTAGCCCACACTGCACATATGATTTGAAGGTTGAAAAGAAAGGAGATTTAAGGGCGTAAAAATGAAAACATAATGGAGTTTCTTCTCCAACTGAGAAAACCATCTATTCCCTGTAAAAAAAAGACGAACCATTAAAGTTTCCTAAAATACTCACAGATTTTGAAGTTCTCATCAAGGTTGGAGTGTGTGCTAATCATTTCATCAGCTTTAAAAATGCAAAGCCTTCTCAGTTGGATTTCTAACATATTTTTACCAATCATGATCTGCAAACACAAAAAAATGTATGAAGACAAGCTTTTAAGACTAGTGTGCACCGAATAAACTCAACTCAGCCCAGGGTACATAACAGTTTATATGTTGGTGGCGCTGATGAAAAATTGAAGTCAATATTCATCCCAACATCTTAAAAAAAAGTCAAATAACACAAATGTCACCATATATTACTCCAAACGAAGCAAAAATAACAGAATGGGTTTTGTATAGATCTTTTTTAATAAATCAATTTCATTAGCATTCACCGAATAATTAATCAGAAATACTGGTATCTCTGCAGTTCATCCAGCTCATTGGCTATGAAATCATGCAAAGAGAAATGGCTGGACTTAATTTCTGAATGTGACATCATATCTGAGCAAAACGACTCATAGAGTTGAGATCCTTTTAAACTGTTATTAGAGTCCGATCTAACTACTTAGAGAAAGGACTACATCCATTTTGGGGAAACAAAAAATGCAGAATTATTTAACAGAGTGGAACACATAAAAGTAATTATCAGCATTTTGGAAGTAGAGAACATGCCTGAGTAACATTCGTTCGATCCAAGCAATCAATGCAATTTGTCCTTACAACCCCAAGTTGTGCCTCAACTTTCTCTCCCTTCTCATTTCGTAAAAAGTACCTTCCAAATAGAATGAACGAAGAAATATTGAGTGAAGTTAGATAGCCTTAAGATTTTGAGTGAAATTTGCATACGAATAACACATAGCTGATTTCAAACAATAAATGACAAAATTTAATTGCAACACTGCTATGAAGGAAACACAGCAGCTGTAAAGGTGGTATCATTGCATTTTTAGAAGGCCCCCAATGACGTGGTTACTATAAAACAAATTGGTAGCTTATGTATACTTCCGTGGCCTTGGAGGTTATAACTAGCACTTGCAATAAAAATAAAATTTTGCAAATATATGTTAGTTCGTATTTGGGAATAAGCCAAACCTGTTATTAATGAGGAAATTCTCAATCTCATCATAAAGTTCAGAGAGACGCTCAAAATGTACATGCCCGCACTTCTGGTGAAAATCAAAGTGCAAGTATCTACAAAGACATTAGAACTTAGCAGGGATTGCAAATTGACATATAATTAAGCTGTTGGGAGAATAGACCATACCTCACATCTTCATCATTAATATGCTGCATAGCATCTGAAAACTTGTCACTAAGACGTCCCTCTCCTCCATGCTGTTTAGAATGTCAATTACATTTATACTCCATAGACACTCATGCAGTGTACAACACTAAAATTCTACGGAAGTGGTTGAAAAAGATTAGCTAAGCACAACAGAAACAACAACAACAACCCAGTTGAATCCCACAAGAGTGGGTCTGGGGAGGGTGTGTGTACGCAGACCTTACCCCTACTCGAAAGTAGAGAGGCTGTTTCCAAAGAGACCCATGGCTCAGCGTCCAAAGTTGCATTGATTGAGTAACTGCTACTTCATTAATTAAAGAAACGCAAACAGTTTAGAGATCCACTTTGCTTTATTCCATCACACCCAAAAGCCAAAAAATAGTGAATTTTTGGCTCCATCGGAGATGATGGATAAGACTAGCAGATTGGCTAAGCACAAACAATCTAAAAATGAATAAGACTGGCAGATAGATAAAACAGCCCAGCAACTTACCATGTGAAAGCCCACGTGTTAATTAACCTAGTCCATTGATTGAATAACTATTATCCAACGAAATTTGTAAGATTAAGAATCCAACATCTCCTGATTCTTTCATCTGTTAGTTTAGTTTGTTTTGTCAAAACTCAAAAGAATGCAACTTGTGCGGATATCACAAAGTCAAACCTAATGTTTGAATTTCAACATCCATTTCCCTTTCTATCCCGTTTGACCCCTAGTTAAAAATCTTAAACACAAAAGGTAACATTATCATCTTCTTACCCCGACTCAATTTTCTGAGAATGCATGAGTGGACGAGTTATCAACCTCAACATGCATGACCAGCTTGAGATAAAAGTAAAAGAGCTTACACTATTCACAAGATCAATGGCAATAACATTTCCATATTTCTTCCTTAGATCTAAAAAATGCCGCTCAGCCACCCGAGGCTGCAGATTTCATATAAACGATAGTATTAGCATTGAACACAGTAATAGAATTTATATATATTGATAAACCTATAGTGCAACTCACTGCTTCATCAAATCTCACTATCTCAAACTTGGGCTTATAGGTTAAGTCAACAATTTGATCCCATAATATAGGGATTGACCCACGAACCTACAAAAGATAGTCCGAAGAGTAAAATCACATTCAATGGATATTGTCATAAATTAAACATATGATTAAACATATCATTTTATTAAAATATGATTAATTAAAGAGTAGATGTAGCACGAAAACATCAGATAAAAGAATTGACGGAAAAAAGTAATCATAGAAAGACCAATGTAACTTTAAGTCCAATGTGAGGAGAATGTATGCAAGACTGGTGGCTGTATTGATGTATACAAACCTCTCTCTATTCATGCATGCTCACACGCGCACATATGCTTGAAAGTTTAAACAAGCAATGATTTTGAGAGAATTTCAATTTTAAAAGAAAGGTGAAGTAAAAACACATTCTTTCCTGAAAGTAAAAATATAGTACAGAGTAGCTTACCGATAGCTTCCATGTAATGAACTACATGCAGTTTTATTTTTTATCTTTTGCAACAGACAATCAGTCAGTAGCTACTAACTAGGGTTTAGTGGTTGATATGTCGTCACATACTGACCATTACCCTCAATAAAATGCTTTAACTGACAGTGTAGCACACCTGCACCTTCTAGACTTAGAAAGCCCATATGCAAACCAGGCTAATTTCTTTTTCTCGGAAAAGCTCGTTACTTGTGAAAAAGCGAAATGGCTAAATTGTTCAAATGTTGTTTCATTGGTAAAGTGATAAGAAACAGTGCAATATTCTAAACTCGATTACCAATATAAAAACTATAAGACAAACCATGTGGAGAATAATCCAGCTGCTAGCCTACTTCCAATTGTATTTTAATAAAAATAATACTGAGTCCTGATCAACTACTCCGTATTTCTTTATTATCGAGTACTTTTAATCCAATGCAAAGAGCATGATTTCAACATTATTTAACACTATGTCAAAACTAAAAATATAAGTATACCTGAACAAAAGATGCTATAAAACCTTTCATTTGTATGATTTGTTCACTTTCCACAAAATTTGCAACATAACCATCAGAATCAGCCCCTCTTCTCCACATCCGAGTGCCTAAACCAATGGCCGAATTAGTAATAAAAATATACTGATTTGCTGAGCAATATCAATTTAGAAATTCACCGGGTTCTTAAATAATTTCACTGTTATTAAATGTTTTAAAATCAAAGGGAACTGCCTCAAATTCCATATATCTAACACTACTCTGTCGCCAAATATTTTTTCACTTTCCTTTTTCGTGAACTCACAAACTATCACTCATTCCCTTTCAAGTTTAGAGGAAAACAATAGGCAGTTCATATTATTCTTTCTTCTAAATAAATTTCAACCGCAATTTTAACTTCTTAAATCTTAAATTGATGTAACAAGTGAAAAACTGGGCACTAATATAGGCACAGAGAGATTATTCAATATAAAAGTCCAATTTCAGCTTAGTGACAATAATAATCTGGTTAGAGAGTCATATGGCCTGCATGACGACAACAACAACAGCCTCAGTTTCCCTATAATTGGGGTCTGAAAAATGTAGGAGTAAACAGCGCTTACCCCTAACTTATGAAAGACAAAGGTTGGATTAAAAGTAACTAAATCCTCATAAAACATAACTGATGAAATGAGTCACATTATTTGAATCTAAAAGAGGTCAGATGATACAGTAATTACAGTGGTGTGTCCATGCCAACCATGTTAAGTCTGAGGCTCACCATGCAAACCATGTAAAGTCAGAGGCTCAAACAAAGATGGTCAAAAAGCATGTGGCCCCAAATGAGAGCAAATGTTGGAGTTGCACCTATTGCTGAAAGTTAGTGGAAGCACATCTTAGGTGGTTTTGACATGTGGAGAGAAGACCTATAGAGCATACATGTGGCTAGATGAAGGGGTGGACATAAGAAAGCTTGGCATGAAGGTCAAGGTTGATCTATGCGTGAATGATCTCACTGCAGATATGATACATGACAGGGCGCAATGACATCATTAGATCCATGTAGCCGACCCCACATAGTGGTATAAGGCTTTGTTGTTGTTGTATCGTCATTATGGAGGACAACCAACTTTAGGATTGCAAAAGAAAAAGAAGATAATTAGTATTTCTTGGAATAGAAGGGTACTCATAATAAAGAAGTCTACTCAGCCTCACAAATGACATCAAGGGTGACATTCAAATTTCAAGCTTCTAGAGTTCTTATGTCAAGTGTCAAGAATTCCTACTTAAGAGCTATTCAGATTTCAGAACACTATTTCACACTCCCTCAGTTGGAGTGTACAAATTATATGCATGAAAATTGTTACAAATATATTTTATTTTAAGTTTGTTGTTGTTGTCGTCGTTGTCTTCCTCTTAAGGCCTCCATCAAAATATCAACAAGTTGGTCCTCTATAAACATAGCTTGTAATGATGTGTGTCATGCGTCATTGTGTGCAAAAAGACTTTCTCTTGAATGAAGTGACTGTGAACATCGGCATGTTTAGTTCTTTCATAGCACATTAGGTTTGAAGCAATGTGTATGGAGCGTCTAAGATACCATCAATCAATGTGCAATACTTCATTCGGAGCGTCTATCAATAACTCTCACAATGTATATCCACCAACATCCCACAATAGACTTACGAAGAACCAAGTCCCACGGGTAGCAAGAAAAGGAAACACAATGATAGCTAAGGATTATAGATAGGGTGTGGGTTAAGAGTGAAACATATACCTTCCTGTAAACTGTAAAGCAATGGGTAAGTGATGAGGAGAAGGCGCAGGAGTAAGCTCGGGTTCTGGGGCAACCAATTACCGTGGTGTTGGATCCGTAATAGGGGAAATAGGAGGAGCAACAATAGGAATCTCTACAGGGTTAGAACGAGGATGAGAGGTAAACTTGTAAAGGGCCAGCTGGTGTGGAAGGAATGTTGGGCTGGACGTCAAGTTTATTCTGGCAGATTGGTGTTTCAATGGTATCACTATTTTGTGGAGATAGATTGGGAATATTTACAAAGTAAAAAATATATTTGGAAGATGTGGTAAGGAAAATCAATAAAAGTGATGTCAGTGGAGACAAAATGTCACCTCAGTGTCGGGGAATACACTGACATCCTTTCAAAGTTCCAAATATGCACGGATGGCATATTTAATAGACCAAAAAAACATTTTAACAAGCCCTGATGTTGTGTTGTGAACAAAACAAACACACCTAAACATGCAAGGCTGTAATGGGAACAATTCACGAGAACTTCAACCCAATAGTGAGGTGGTGAGTTAGAATCTACAGTAGATGACCGTTCTTATGTTCAACACTTCAACGACCCTATTTTGTCGAGGTATCTGGATGAAAGATGGTTGGAGGTGCATACCTTGAATATCTCTTTCATTTAAAATAACCATGTGTATCTAGAAGAATAATTAATGAAGATGATAAATTATCGAAACCCATAGGCGGAAATGACACATGGACCCTAGACGTCACTAAGAATTATTTCAAACAGAGACTCTTCCCAGTTATTAACCCTTCTTGTATAGGACGGTCAAGATTTTTTTTTTTGGGGGGGGGGGCTATCAAGATTGTTTGTCAAGGTGTCATGAGTCATATTCTAGTGATCAAATACTTGACAAACCTGGGACTCATATGTCACAAATAGATCGGGTGACAGGGAATAAGATCAGAAGGATGAGAATAATATAGACCCTGAGACTCTCATCTGACAAAAATCATCTCCCCCATACAACGGTCCTGTATCATTGCAGAATCAGCAGAAAAGATTAGGTATCATTTGGTTATGGCGAGAGAGAGGACCATTGTAGGGGAAGATGATTTTCTGATGTCACCCTTATATAGATTTCATGAGAATTCTAGAGGCTTGGATGTCACCCTTAATGTCACTTGGAAGACTTGGGACCGGGAGAACGCTCTGTCATGAATACCTTGTATTCTTTCATTTATATCAGGTGATACATATTCTCTTCTACTCCCTCCATCCCAGATTAATACTCATACTTTGGCTTTGCACGGAGTTTAAGAAAAATGAAATTGTATGGTTGAAGGTGATCCAGAAGAGAGAGAAAAAAGGTGAGCCACAAAAAACTTTTCAAAAAAGGAAAGAGGAAGATTATTTTGGGAGAACCCAAAAAGGAAATAAGGAGGATTAATAAATAGAAGAGAATATGTATTTCCTGATATGCTGAAAGAATACAAGGTTTTAATACAGAAAGTTCTCCCAAGTCTTCCAAGTGACATTAAGGGTGACACTCAAGCCTATAGAATTCTCATGTCATGTGTCAAGAATTATTACTTAACAGCTATTAAGAGCAGTATTTCACAAGGTTCTTATTACCAGATCTCCTGTTGCACCTCCGTGCAATCAGTGTAACATCAATTACATCTCTCCCAATGGACGATTGAAAGTTGTTAAAACCTGGGATTAACTAAGGAATACATTTGAACGGAATATACACTGAATCCTTAATAGAGAAATTGAGTGAAAATATTAAGGTTGCTCAAAGAGTTCACATCAAGAAATTTATTCATAACAAGGATACTCCCCTGGAGAACAGGCAGCAAGAACGGGTCAAGCTGTAAAAGGAAAATTGCATATTCAATGAGTTACAATCTGGCAGAAGATTGAGACAACAAAATTATATTAAATCAGACCTTGTTATCTATTAGCACTTCCATCATATAGTTGTTCCAAACAAATCGAGGGTCAGCCTGCACAAAAAGTGAGCAAGTTATTACATAACATATTAACATCAAGGTTTGAGGTCATACACAAAGAACACCATGCAAGAAAAGTAACGGACAAGAATGGCTGCATGAGATTCTACCTATAGAACTAAATTATTTAAGAAAGGCGGGTAGAAAGCCTACCTGTCTCCAAAGAGGAAGTAGCCTAGATTCTTCACCCAAATCATGTAACCGTTGAGCACTGCAATACAAGTAGAAGTAAAATACTGTACTCAATTATTGAGGGAAGAAAATGGAGAAGAAAATACTCTTTTGGGTAATTTACCTAAATATGACTAAAACATAATGACTTTCTCAATATAGGACCATATGTTTTCATTTCCCAATGTAGGAACATTGGTCATTATTCAAATAAATGTCTACAATCACTGGACATTATTCCTCCCACTAGACATTATTAAGTACTATTTAGGGAATAAAAAAGTTTAAGTCCTACATTAGGAAATGACTTATGTTTTAGTCCTATTTACTGTAAATTTCACTACTCTCTTATACTCTCTCCGTCCACTTTCTTTCTTCCCACTTTCCTTTTCAGGTTGTTCATTATCTTTCTTCCCATTTCCAAATTTGGTAACTAAAAGGAATTAAAATGTCTATTTTGCCCATTGAAATTTAAGGTCCACCCAACCCGTTTAAATCCTACTCTAATCCGACCTACCCACCCCACCTCTTCAAGAACATTAACATTTTTTGCTCTTACTTTTCAGTGTTGTTTTACTCTTCTTCATGAGGTAAAATGTCTTCCGATCCACCATTGTTCCTCATGATCAGCACCAGTAAGGTATGCGTTCACCATTTTTTATTTATCTGTTATTTTTTTACTTTCCCTTTTTGAGTTTTAGGAAAAATAATTGATTTTGAATTTTTCATAAATCTGAGTTCATCCATGGCCGAATCAGCAGATGATGACAAAGACGATGAATCGGCGACCATGGCATGAAGATCGATAAGAGATCTTGTTGGATTTTGAGGATTTCTCCATGGACGTAAAGAAAGAAATGAAGAGAAGATATTTTCACATTAACTTGCTTGAGAAGAAAGGAGTACAGGAGAGGTATATAAAGGGAGAGAGAAACAAACTTAACAACCGTAACTACCGTAACAGAAAAGAAAGAAGAAAAGATATCTAAGCCAGAAAAGAAAGAAGAAAAGATATCTAAGCTATTCCAACACCGCCCCTCAAGTTGGAGGGTGATTGAACCCCCAACTTGGAAACAATTCTGTGATGAAGTGCACTAGGCAAACTCTTAGTGAACAGATCAGCAAGTTGATGTTGGGAAGGAACATGTGTGAGAGTGATTCTCGAACGAAATGACAGTCCAACTCAATATGTTTGGTGTGTTCATGATATACAGGATTAGTTGCAATGTAGATAGCTGCTTTGCTGTCACATTTGACAGGAATGGGTGTGATGTTGGGAACATCAAAATCAGCAAACAGACGACTTAACCAAGCAAGCTCAGCAGTAACTCTTCTCATGGATCTGTATTCAGCTTCAGCTGAGCTTAAAGACACAGTAGCTTGTTTCTTAGATTTCCAAGAGATAGGACTACCTCTCATAAGAATGAAATAACCACTAACAGACCTTCTTGTGTTAGGACACGCAGCCCAATCTGAGTCACAATAGGCTTCCAATTGGAATGTGGGAGAATTGTTGAAGTGAATTCCTTGAGAGGGAGCTGAGTTTAGATATCTCAAGGTGTGCTGGGCAGCTTCCCAATGAGGAACCTGAGGATTCTGCATGAATTGGCTTAAGAACTGAACTGCATAGGCTATATCTGGTCTGGTATGGGTAAGAAAATTCAGTTTGCCCACAAGAGTTCTATAAAGAGTGGGGTTAGAGAATGGTTGAGCTGGCCTGTGCCTCTAATGACTAACCTGGCCTTGTGCCTTTCCAAAGTGCCATCAGATTTGAATTTCAGCTTGTAAACCCATTTACAGCTTATGGGTTTCTTACCTCTTGGCAGATCACAGATTTCCCATGTTCCAGTGTCTGCAAGGGCCTGAAATTCTGTCTGCATGGCTTGCTGCCAAGCTGGATCATCCTTGGCCTCTTCATAATTTTTGGGTTCCTGCATATATGTAAGAGTATGCAAAAGATTTTGACTAGCCTGAGTTAAAGCACTTAAGCACATATGTGTGGAGGGAGCAGTGGAAGTAAGAGTATGAGGGCATGATAGGAAAATGGAGGGATCAGGAGCAGAGGATGGTGTGGAGATACTAGCAGTTTGACACACATAATCTTTAAGATGAGCAGGCATTTTAGGAGTCCTAAGGGATCTATTAGGGACAACAGTAGATGAAGAAGGAATGTCAGAGGGTACTGAATCAAAGGATGTATGAATATCAGAGGGTGAAGCATTGTTAGAAGATGAAGTGGTAGTGACAATAGGAATATCTGATGGAGAGAAATCTGACAAAGGGTGAGAAGGATCATAGTTAGAAGGAAACAAAGGATCTTGTGGTGGCTCATTTTGAAAAGGAAAAACTGACTCATGAAAGACCACATCCCTAGAATCTTCAACCTTGTGGGTTGCCATGATGTAAACCTTATAGGCCTTTTTGCCATAAGGATAACCTAGAAATATACCATTGGAAGCTCTCTCTGCAAATTTTGTTCTTCCAGGTTTCTGTGTTGAGATGTAACACAAACAGCCAAAAACCCTTAAATGTGTATATGAGGGTTGTGTGCCAAAAAGGATTTCATAAGGGGATTTGTTCTGGAGGAGCTTTGTGGGGAATCTATTGATGAGGTATGTGGCAGTGAGGACACATTCACCCCAGAATTTCTGAGGTATATTTGACTGGATAGACAAAGCTCTGGAGGTCTCAAGTAAATGTTTATGTTTTCTCTCAACAACTCCATTTTGTTGTGGAGTGTTTCTCACACTAGTCTGGTGTATAATGCCTTTAGAAAGAAAGAATTGGGAAGTGGACTGACTCTTCCCTAATTCTAAGGCATTGTCAGATCTTATAGTTTTGATGTCAGTACTAAACTGAGTACTAACCATGATGACAAAGGATTTGATGAGGTCAGCAGCATTACTTTTGGCTGCCAAGAGATAGGCCCAAGTGGCCCTAGAGTAATCATCTACAATGGTAAGAAAATATGAAAATCCATTGTAAGTTTTTGTATGGTAGGGACCCCACAGATCTAGATGTATTAATTCAAACAGATGTGTTGATTGACTATGACTAATGGGAAATGGTAATCTATGTTGTCTGGCTCTTGGACATACATCACAACAGGATAAGGAATTGAGACTTTCATTATCAAAAGAACAAAGATGCTTAAGTTTGTAACTGGGTAAATGACCCATTCTCACATGCCACAAGTTTACATGAGATTGCATAGAAACCTTATTACAGAAAGTATTATGTGAATTAACATGAGGCTGAACAATGGATTTGTCTAGAGAATGATGACTGATTGGGGTAATGTATAGACCACCATGCCTTTTACCAAGCTCCACTGACTTCTGCAGAATACATTTATCTGCTGTGAAACAAGCTGTAACTCCCAATTGTTTACACAATTTACCCACAGACAGAAGGTTAAACTTGAAATCAGGGACAAATAAAACACCCTTGAGTGTTATGTCACAAGGTAGATGAATGGTTCCAGTTTGAAAAACTGTGAGCTGTTGGTTGTTGGGTAGAACAATTTTGTGAGGTGAGACTAAGTGTGTGAGATCAGTGATAAGGCTAGAATTGGCACACATATGATCTGTTGCTCCAGTGTCTAAAATTCAGGCATAATCATCAAACAAATGCACACTATTACACATATGATTAACCAAAAAATCATTAGGGCTAAGAATCATACCAGCCATGTGTGCTGCAAATGCTTGGGACTTATCTTCATGTAAAGAGTTGATGAATTTCATGAACTGACTGCAAAACTCAGGGCTGATCTTTCCATCAGATTTAGATTCACCAATGTCAGATTCTTCTCCATTAACAGCATTCCCAGCAAATCTTCTTGGCTTTGTAAACTTGAAATCCTTTGGGAAACCAACAAGCTTGTAACACTTGGCAGCAGTATGGCCTTTCTTCTTACAGTAATCACAAATGATGACCTTCCTTTCCTCAAATTTCCATTTGCTTGCAGGTTGAATACTTGCATTCAGAGATGTGTGTTCGACTGCAAAGTGAGAAGGTGCCTGTATCTCCCTCTGTTTCTCCTCTTGTATGAGAAATCCATAAGCAACTGGGACAGAAGGAAGAGGTCGCATAAGAAGTATATTTCCTCTTGTGACATTGTAGTCTGAGTTGAGACCCATCAGAAACTGGATTAATTTCTGATTTTGTTCATACTTTGTGAGCTCTTGAACAGATCCACACGTACACCTTGGCAAATTGGACACCAGTGCCAGTTCATCCCAGATTCTCTTCAATTTCATGTAGTAAGTGGCGATGTCTGAATTCCCTTGAGTGATGGAACAAATTTCCTTTTGAAGTTGAAACAATCTGGCACCATTCGATTGTCCAAATCTGTCTTCAAGTTCATTCCACATTTCAGCAACATTCTCAGCATATAGAACGCTGTCCCCAATCTCTTTGCTTAAAGTATTGAGAATCCATGAGGTTATCATATCATTGCATCTCTGCCAATTGTTGACACGACTGGATGAATCGTCAGGTCTTCCGATAGTGCCTTTCACAAAACCTAATTTGTTCTTCGCCGACAGAGCAATTGTCATGGATTTCTGCCATGAACCAAAACCTTCGCCTGAGAATTTTGTTGAAATCAGAATCAATCCTGGATGATCTGAAGGATGAAGGTAGTAAGGATCAGAAGGATCAATCGTAGTAGATGAATTGCTGGTGTTAGATGCCATGATGATTTACGAATGAAATTGAAGAATCTCAGATGAAAGATGAAAGAGATCTGAGATGAAGAACCTCAGTTTGCGAAGATGATGAACAGAATCCGCGATTGAAGAATCTGAGAAGATGATGAACAGGATCAGCGAGTGAATCTGAAGTGCTCTGATACCATGTTGGATTTTGAGGATTTCTCCATGGACGTAAAGAAAGAAATGAAGAGAAGATATTTTCACATTAACTTGCTTGAGAAGAAAGGAGTACAGGAGAGGTATATAAAGGGAGAGAGAAACAAACTTCACAACCGTAACTACCGTAACAGAAAAGAAAGAAGAAAAGATATCTTAGCCAGAAAAGAAAGAAGAAAAGATATCTAAGCTATTCCAACAGATCTTGATGACCCTTAGCTGTTATTGCTCCTACGCCTAGATATGATGTTTAATCATTGTCCTTGGCTTCCACTACGAGCTTCATCTCAGGATATGATATTGAAGTGGGAAACATATGAGACTTGATAAAGTTGGACGGATATATGATAAAGTTTGATAAATTAAATATATGGCACACCCTCCCATACCCTACTTCCGTGGGATTCCCCTGGGTTGTTGTTGTTGAAGAAGAGAATATCTAAGAGAGAAAGAATGTGGAAGAAGTTAATGGGTGAATTTGTTTAGAAGGTAAAATTGGAAAGTCAACTACATTTATCACTTACCTTAATAATCGTGCCCAGTCAAACTGGGAAGAACCTAATTGACGGGTAAGAATTATCTCCAGTAAGAAGAAGAATATAACTACTGAGATTTTTCTTTCATAACCCAAAAAAAGAACTATACTACAAAATCCCAAGTTTAGCAAAAACTCCAAATAACAAGGTATGAGTTCTTTGCCCAAAAGAACCTGACCAGTCCTACCGGTGTAATTTCATGAATGGACAAAGTGACTTCTTCCCAATCAAATCCCAACCAAAAACATGTGTTACTCCGTAATACATAACACCAAAATGCTCAGAAACCACTAGATAATTTATCATCAGCCGAAAGGAACTGCTCACAAAATACTCTCAGGTGTACATTACGATTACTACGTAAATAGATATAACTCTCTTATGAAGAACTCCTTGATAAGCATGAAAAAGAAACTTCTCAAAACCTCCAGAAAACAAGGAGTGTAAGTGGGAAATAAAGGTAACATGTAGCCTATAATCATAATGGTTCACCTCAATGTGATATTAGCATCATAAGAAAAGTACAGGCCGGGTGTCCGCTCTGCCACACTTAGCAGTGTGGTAAGCTCTGCTTTCATTCTTTTCTGACAACAGTTTAAGAAACATAAAGAGTAACTTGGAGGAACACTTTCAGAGGATTTAAAAAGAAAACAGATGGTTAAGAATATAGGTAAGCCAACCTGTTCTACAGATGAACTCTTGAGAGAATTGCTGCAAGGTAAAACTTTCAATGATGTGACTTTAAAGATAGGATGTCCCAGGTAAAAACCAACACGTTCACGTTCTGTTATAACTATTAAGTATGAACCTGAAAAGAACGAATGTTATAAACACTCAAGTCAAGACAATCTCATTGTTCATCAATTTCATATCTAATATTGCATACTTCCTTTGTCCCGTAAATATTCTTAGTTTGACTTTCACAGAGTTTAAGAAAAGTGGTTGGCTGGAATTTGTTTAGAAAATATAAATTTTGTGAGCTACATAATCTGTTTCTTAAAAGTAAAGTGATTTTTTTTGGGACAGACAAAAAAGGAAAGAGAATGTTTTTATGGGACAGAGGTAGTATTTCATAATACCAAGGAGGAAGGGTGCCGCCAAGGCAAATGGTGCGGCTGATAAATTAATGTCTAGTGTAATGATATATTCTGAGTAAATCACTTAGTTATCAGCTAATAAAATATAGCATCCCAGACTACTTCGATCCATTCACTTAGTTTTCCTTTTCTCTCGGTTTCTTTGTGAGATTTCTCTCAACAATCAGAACAATTGCAGCCAGAACTCATAGGAGTTATATACGGTATTATTCTCCATGTGAGCACTTCTATTCATTGCAGTTTACTAAATACGATATTATAGAGCATCTATTTTGTATGCAAAGTAGAAAATCATTCTGCTCAGAGTCTAGCAAGGTATACTTTTTGAGTATTAGATAATACTAACTTGCCTGCCACAAGCTTTAGAATTCCAACAACACCAAATATAGTCTGAATTTTAGGAACATGAAGAGTGCTGCCATGTTGCATTTCATCTAATGACATTAAACAAATGCATAATTAGTTGATGGAAAGATAAGTACGACCACAATATCACTAAGTAGCAGCCAACCTAATAAACTCATAGATGCATCCTCGCGACGGATTGCCAAACACGGCCCAGAAGATCCATCCGTGGGTTCAATAACATACTGATCCGAAAATTCCCATAGCCTCATCCTTGTATATAGCTTCTGTGCAGGATCTGCCTTCTCCATCATTATTGGATCCCAATCACTGCTACATTTTTTAATTGGATAAATAAAACACCTCCTTAATGCCTCACTTGAAAGTTAAATGCAAGACAATACTCATTCTCGATAACTTATAAAGTAAATGGTCGAGTTACTCTACAGAATTAACAGGTTATGTTGCTTAGTCTCCGAATAAGGATGAGACCGATGAGTGAGTATCAGGGTAAAACGTTTGCAATGGTTATGGCATTTGATGTGAAAACAATACTATACTTCGGAAAAATGGCAATATCGTGCATCAGGTTTCAAACTAGAACCCTGGGTAGATTTTATGCATCTTACTCTTGAATAGAAAACAAAAATCCCTATATTTCAGGCCTCTCTGCACCTTATAACCATTCTAGACTCATTACTAAGATAATCTGAAGATATTTTAGCTCACAAATCACCAAGATAATCTGAACATCTCCTGCTTATTCCTTTCTCATGAACTTCCACAATTTCAGAGAAACTCTAGCATCAATATTGCTACGCATTCAAAATGGATCAAAGCGTGATCGATCATAGAAAAACAACACTTCCGGATTCGCAAATCCAAATGTCGCAGGCTTGAGATGACAAATTGACGAGAATCGCGCAGAAATTGTGATAGTATTATGAAGTAGTAATGTAATGATACCTGGGAAGAGAACTGGTTGGGAAAATGGCCGAGCAAAGGGAATTGAGAATTGGAGCGATGAAGAGCGGAGAGAAGGAAAGAGAGATTAGAGCAGTGGAAAGGGTAAGCGCGTGCCAAATCATTCTTTTGCCTTTTTAAATAATTTTTATCTATTGAAATTATTGAAAATTATTTTATTTGTTTTTCTTAAAATACTTTCACTTCTTTAAAAAATCCTTCTATTTTATGAAAAACATTAGAAAAATAAAAGAAAAAAAAAAGAAAAGTTGAGAACAAATTGACTCGCATTATGCATATGTCATGCAAAAAGGGGTGAAATAGCAAAAATTGTCTCACAAATACTAGAAGAATATGATGTGCTTTGGCACTGACAATTCTCTACGAAACATATGCACTCCTAGTTAAGTGTCACAATTTTGACGTAACTTTACATTTTGACTTCAAATTAGAAAAAAAATGTAAAAACCAATTTGTCCGAGTGTAAATCGTTGAAGGAGGCCATTGTTGCTTTTGTATTCAAGTCGCGGTATTTGGAGGAGATGACGTCGACAATGTGATAGGGCTTGACGTTCATAAGGGTGTGGAATTTAGTCGTTACTCTGGCCCAAAAGTCGTCTACATTTTGCATTGGCTCGTATCTAAACGTGAAAAAAAAATTGTAAGCAACATTATGCATTGCCGCATCTTGGATTGCATAATGTAAAAATTAATCTTTAATTGGGTCTTCAGGAACATTCACCCACGTCTAAGCCAATGCTTTCTCCTCCGTTGCCATTCGATCCGTGCTGGCTGCATAACCCGACCAATGGAATCTTCATTGCGCACAACCTTGCCTTTGGATTTTTGGGTCCATTATATATATATATGTTTCGGGGATGCTCTCGGCGGGGTCGATCCGGCCATTCGCAAAACTTGTGATAGATGGATTTTGTAAAAAATTGAATTGTTCATCGAGAAATTGCAAATAGTTAAGATCCATAATATGAGAGGTGTGATTTTTAAAAGGGACGAGGCGGTTTAATTAAAGAGTTTGGAAAAAGAAAAAAATTGAAAAACTAGCCGTTTAAAAATTAGTTTGGGATAGGAAAGGAGCCGTGGTGACCATGATGATTATGGCCAACACCTGCATTAGAGTCAGTCGATAACAGTAAGAAGAGGTGGCGTTCCACATCGTGATGGGCACCGATGTGGCACCACCTGGCCATCACCGGTTGCCCACACCAGTTGGTTTAAGTGGGTTCGTTGGATTTTTCATTTTTGCCCGGGTGCATATACAATTTTAACTTATAAATTTATGGAGTATTATAAAAGTATGGATGCATGGCTTGTGTATGTGTTTCTTATATACTTCTCCGTCCCTAAATAAACTTCTCCTATTGACTTTTTGGAAAATTAAGGGAGGGATATTTTGGTGTTGACTTTCTAAAAATATCATTGATGTGATGGATAAAAGTAAGATGTGATGAGTAGATTATTAGTAAAAAAACTATAATGTGATAGGTAAGATATGAAAAAAGTAAAAGGTAGTAGTTTTTTGGGACAAAAAAAACGAAAGGAGTATGAATTTCTAAAATAGTACAGGCCGGGTACTTCAAAATTTAATTGAACGATTTAACTTCTCCGTTTAGAAAATACTCCGTAATAATACCCCCTTAATTAAACTATTTTATGACAATGTAGATGTTATTAAAGCAGAAAATAATTTGAAAAATTGTTACGACATAAATACTCTCTATAATAATAAGGCGCATGCTATATATATACCCCAACATTTCTACCCCATATACACCAAAAGTATATATATACCAACAATTTGATGATTTACATTGAATCAAAGTTTTAGTGTATTAACAAAAATTTGCACCGACACAAAGTGTTCATGCGTTAACAAAAATAATTAACATTACATCATCACAAAATATTGGTGCATCCCTACGATATACAAGATGGGTTACAAATCCTAAGGGTATAAATAGCATTATCCTAATAATAATTACGGACTACATGCTAGTTATAATAATGATCTGTTTTTAGAATTTAAATTATTAATTTCTACACTATGTTTAGATTTTATGGAGCAAATTTCACGACTTATTGTACTGCTTGTGTTATACAGGATATATAATTGAAAATCAAAACTATAATTTTATCGTATACTCCAATTCGTAACATGCATAATATGGAGCATAAATAACATACGTAAGTAAACTTTATGTAAGTGAAGATTTTAAAAAATGCATAGAGATAAAACATGATAGCATATAATAGTATTATCAAAGGGACAAACGCATGCATTTTATTTGCATTGGCTAAAGAAATTGAAATAAACAAGTATGGTATGATATAATATACATATAATTCACCACAAAAATGTGTGAGTATACGTATATTACTTTTATTCATAATAAAAATAAAAATATTATCTTATGCATGCGTTGAACGTCCATCACCATGCACGCCACCCACCGCTACCCCATGCGGCGGCATTACGTTTCTCCTTAAGCGGGTGGTGGAGGAAAGTTTAAATCTGGGACACGGTAATGCGGCTCGTTGAGATCCGGTAGCACATGTGCTTCGCCGCCACGAGCAGGAGCTTCATTACCCGCCGGAGGAGGAGGCAGCAAAGCCACCCTAACAGCATTTTCACCCACCGCCACGTCTTCGCCGCGAGCTACAGCCATCACGTGCTGCACATCGGCAAACTCGCTACGGTTGAAAACCGGAGGAGGGAAAGCCCCACGCCAACCGCGATTGCTGTGGAGCCTCATGTGCCCAAACAACGCCTGGCGGCTCTGGAACCGCCTCTGGCACACCGAACACTGCGTGTTCGGCTGTGCCGGAGGTGGCGGAGGGGATGCTACGACCACCGCCACGGCGGCTGAGCGCTCCGGTTGAGCAATGGCAAGGCGAGATGACGGAGGGGAGGGAGGTGCGCTACCGCTGCCGGAGGTTTGACCGACTTCTCTTGATCTCTTCTTGGTGGGGCTGGTGGTCGCCGCGGCGGGTGGAGGACTGTTGGGAGCGGAGGAAGGAGAGTTGCCGGCGTTAGGCTGAGACATTGTCGTAGTTTTCCTTCCTCGCTCGTAGAGCTATGAGTAATCAACAATCCGGGGGATGGTGTGCTGGTGGGAGAATGGAATGTGGCGCGGCGGTCGGAATATATAGACGGCGGTTGTAGAAAACGACGCAATGATTCGAATTTGAGTTACCGTTAGTTACCATTCCAATAGGGCGGGAAGGCAGCGCGCGGGGTTTCGTAAACCGTCGCCTTCTTTGGTACCGGTGTTTCATGCATGCATGTACACGTGTGCATCAGCGTATGGCGGGAAAGCAAATTTTTGATTTAACAGCGAAAAGCCCCGCAAGGATTGGTTAACTTGCCTCTCCTTAGTTATGAGAATGTTAATTAAGTTCGGACTGTGAAGATGGATCCTCGGTAGTGGTAGCTAGCTAGTGTGCATTAGAGTTTTACTTATGTGATACTGTATTGGAATGTAAATATTTGTAGTAATAACACTGAAACTTAAGTCATTTTTCTAAATAACAACTTAAATTGTTTTATTTCTTAAATAGCACTTAATAATGTAGGTCTATAATGACCAGTGATGACAAACATTTACTTGAATAATGACTAATGGATAATGACTAAAAGTGCTACATTGGGAAAAAAACACATGTAGTGCTATTTAAGGAAAGTCATTATGTTTTAGTGCTATTTACGTAAATTCCTCTTCTTAGAACTAGATTAAGATTATCATACAACTTATCGAGTGGGTGGGGTGCCTCGAGTGACTAAGAGAATTAAGGACATAGCCGGCTAAAAGAAGTGATTGAAAATAGCATTGATCTAGCATCGTAATCAGAAATTGAAAAATTATTAAAGGACGGAGTAAGTATGATAAGTAGAAGTATGTAGTATTCCGTCACTACAAAAAAACACGTTATTGGCACGGATTTTGGCACAGACGCCGATTTTAATTTTCCGTGGCAACAATATTGGGCACTTAATTTGGAACGAATGAAAATACCGGCCAATTTCGAAGCTCCAAAATGTATGTGCCATAGAAAGGCACGGAATTACCCGTGCCGACACCATTTCAAACTCACGGTTTGAAGAAAAATGTCAAAGTTTATAGGCGCGGATAATTCTTTGCCTTTTCAAATTTTCAAAATTTGAAAATTTATTTTTCAAAATAATAAATATTGGCCCCTTTTTCAAGGAACTGTCCGTGCCTAAATTTTTAAAAATAAAAAAATAAAAATTTTAATTCAGAAATTATGTAAAATTTAACAATAAAAGCATCTAATATTCACACCATTATAACAGAACTAATTAATTAAATTAAATTAAAATGTCAAATAATATTCATCACAACCAACAAATAATAAATGTTCATACCATATGCATCTCACAAATAAAAATAATAGTTATAAATTATCATGATTTAAATAACTATTAACATCACAATTATTACAACTATGTCCTTCAGATGAATTTTGGGCAGGGATAGAAGTTGATTGAAATACGGGCATATGAGGCGTGAGAGGTTGGGGGCATAATAAAAAGCAAGGGTTAGATGTTGATTCATGAGCAGGCTCGAATATGCCATTACCATATTCGTATCTGTTTCTTTTTATCGGATATCGAATTCGGATACGGATATTGACGGATACTAAAAATCAAAACAGTATCCGCATCTCACGGAGTAATTATTCTTATTTTTATAAGTTATAATATTCTACAACAAATTCATATGGTAAAACGATATACACAATACACATACACATATATTTTATGTGTCTACATATATTTTTTGAATTAAAAATGTCTTATACTTTGAAATGTCAATAGAAAAAATAAAATATAATTATAAAAAATTAGGAAAAATTATATATAACGGATCAGATATACGGATAAATGGTTACTTAAACGGATGTCTGTGCGGGGCGGATTATAAACGGATTAGATGTATGATTACCAAATTTGTATCGGTTTATCAATCGGATATCCTTAACCGGATACGGATAATAACCGCTTGTAACGGATGCAGATATTTTTCGTATAAATGGATACAAATGCTGACGGTAATCGATTTTTCGGTTATCCATTTACAGCCCTAAAAAGAAGAAAAAAACCGAAACCAGCCAGAAACCTCCGGTTTCAGTCCCCAAAAATAATACCCAGAACCAAACACGTGTCCATCGGTTTTGAGTCCGATTCATATACCCGCCAGCTCGTGTCCGTCTCCGGTCTGGAATCGCCGGTGGCAGTTCTTATGCGGGACCATGTCTAGCCCTAGGTTAGAGGGGTAGAAATCATCACTTTTTCAGTCGTACAACTTCCCTACTGCGTTGCCCAAATTATGTTACAAAATAGTGAATTTATCGTTTGTCCTAAATGTTTTATGGACGAGTGTTTCTATACTGCACCTTGAGTGCATACAATTTTTGTGGACCTTCTCACATAAAAAAAATTTTTAATTAAAAAAACAAATACTTATTTAAGTAATAAAGAAATGCTTATTATGTTCATATGTAGTTCTATGATGTACCTTAAGTCCACCATAGAATTTGCCTTTACGAATGGAGCACTAGAAGTGCTCCAAAATGATAGTGGCACCGCTAATGTCACCAAAAGCTGGTGTCACTAGAACCCCATCGTTATTATTATTATTATTGACTTCTCTTATTATATTATTATTCTGTACTATAATTCTTTATTCTACTTTTCCTAGGGATATGATCTCTATTGTTCTCTTTATATATTAATGTAATTTTAGCTTCATTATTCAACATGAGTAATATACTACATCCGTTCCTTAAAACCATTCCTATTTTGACTTTGGGCCAAAATAAGGAAAATGTAATTTTGGTTGACTTTCCAATTCTGCTCCTGATGTGATGGGTAAATGTAAGATGTGATAGTTTTGTTATTAGTGAAAAAGTATGATGTGATAGGTATGGTATGAAAAAGTAGGGGTAAAAGTGGTTTTTTAATAGAAAGTGGAAGTGTTTTAAGGAATTAGAAAAAAACGAAAGAGGAAGTGTTTTATGAAACGGAGGGAGTAATTGTTATCAAATTGTATCAACTTTAATAAGCAACCATTTCTTAGCATTTTAACTCATCCAGTCTCTCATAAGTCATAAGTATCATTTGCCCTAAATCTTCCAATTAAGTGAAGTATATACTCGTATCGGATAAGGAAGAACTTCGAACGTTCTTCAAACTCAAAAAATCGGGGACGAGAAGTAGAAGAAATCATGTAGGCTTTGGCGGCTGATGAAATGGAGACAAGGAAGAGACAAGAACGCACGCAGATGCCTAACGCCCAAAGGAATTGGCGGAAGATATTTAGGGTTTGATTTATTTATTGACTGATCTTTTAAAGGGGTTACATATTTATTCATAAGGCATCAATAAAAACCCTAGCCCATCTAATTTTTAGTCTGTCGGTTCAACAAATGCATCGAGGTAAAGAATCGAAAACAAATCATCGAAGGAGCTTATAATTTTACTCACCTATAAAACCTAGATTAAAGAATAGAGTAATTCCATAATTGATCCTTTATAACAGAGGGGTTTCCATATTTAGTCCTTTATTATCAAATATTACCATCGTAATCCTTTTTTAAGGGTGCATTTCCACATCTATTATCAAATATTACCCTCGTAGTCCTTTTTTGATCTTCTGCCATATTGGTGTTAATTTAAAGGCTAAAAGTATAATTTGTCAATTTGATATCAACATTATGTCTAGTGACGTGTTTTGATATTGGTTAAGCGGATAACACAAAAATAATGACTATGATTGTGGGCTAGGATTCTGACGAAACACCACATTTGTAGACTATGGTTGTAGCAGAAAGCGATTGTAATTCACAAACGACGCAAACGGAATAGTCTTTAGAATTGTGTATGACAAAAAAGATATATTATCATTGTAAAATTACACTTTTAACCCTCAAATTAACACCAACATGATAGAAAATCAAAAAAGGACTATTTGTGGAAAGATACCCATAAAAGAAGAACCATTGGGCTAATATTTGATAATAGATGACTAAATAGGGAAACCCCTTGTTATAAAGGGTCAATTATCGAATTTACTTAAAATAATAATATTACTACTAGATATAATTAAATACTCGTATAAACTAATAAATATATTAAATATTTTACTCTACCATCCATACAAATCTTCACATTACTTTTTTAATATTTAAAATATCACAAGTATTCTCACATACTTTATTTATTACTCCCTCCGTCCAAAAAATATCTTCTCATTGCGCGTTACGATGTTTGATTGAAGTTATTTTCAAATCATTTTATACGAAAAATAGTACAAAATTAAAAAATAAAATTACATATTAAAAATCTACATAAAAAGATCTACAAAAATAGAAGTGACATTACTATATTATTTTATCAAATCAGTAACGAAAACAGGATATCAAAGTGAATAAAGTTTGACCCTGTATGTGAATAGTGAACGAGAAGATAATTTTTGGACGGAAGGAGTATATGTTACTCACCTCATTTAATACTCCATCCTTTCTTGAAAACACTATCGTCTAAAATTTTCGCAAACTCCATAAAAAAATTTCTTCCACCTAAAATATCTAAAATACATTTCATTATGTAGTTTATTGCGGGCAATAGTTATTTTGGAGATATTTTAGACATTTTAGATAGAGTAAGATTATTTTATGGAGTGTACAAAAAAGTAGGACGAAACTCAAAAGTGTTCTCAAGAACAGAAGAAGTGTACTTTACCCATTTTTATTAAGAATATTTTGATAATTTGCACTAAAAATAAAGAAGGTCACCTACAGAAAGCCAGGTGAACTAGGAGAGCAACACCCTACTTGATATTAAGTAAAAAAAAAACTAAAACAATCAAGAATGAATGAATAGAATGATGTTACATAACAAATACCCTCATCTGGCCATTAATTTAATTAATTATTATCTTTGGTTTTTGTATCTCATTAATTTTGATTTTTTTGCAGTCAATTAGAATCGATACTTGACCTAGCAATTAAAATCGATCTTTGATCTATAAGTAAATAAGAATTAGATGGTATATTGCAACGATAAAATAGTCCTACTATACCTCCGTTGGTGGCGAATTCAGGAATCACAAGGACAGGGGGCGAGACAAATACGAG